ATACATTACTTTTGCAGTACGTTTTCCACGAGCCAGAGTACCACGCGTGGCTGCAGAGGCTTTCAATTCAAAAGACTACTGAAACCAATTAAGTAACAATCGTGGTACAGGTTTCTAAACAATGCAAATTACGGAAAAAGTATTCCGAAAGTTGAGTTCATTTTGGAGGAAACCATAAAAAGGCGACTCAACCACTTCAGCGAAATGATTTCAAGGCATTCGAGTAGTTGGGACTACCATAGTTGATTGGTACACGAAAGCGAGAACTGCCTGCAGCTACCGGACGGGGCGGCAGTAAATGCGTGCATAAGCTATTTACATAAATCTTGCTACCACTAAAATGTGGGCTACTGCACTTGCACAGTCCCTGTCTCGCGCATACCGCAGACTTGAGCGACAACTTAGACTCCCAGTTTCTATCACAGTACCATGCGGTCTTTTTTGATTGAACAGATACGGTTTCGAGCTTATGCGCCTTCCTTTCCAGAGTCATGTACTACTAATAAGGATAGAGGACAGAGTAGACAGCCAATTTTGTGATTAGGTTTAGTCTGGAAAATACAAAAACTTATTATCGCCAAAGTAAAGCTTAGAAGGTGACACTCGACGGTCCCGAAGGCTGCTGAAGTTCGAAGCCACGAAAGCCTGAAACGAACTTTTGTACTGCGCTGTTTCTATCGCAAAAAAGAATTAAAATCTAAACGACCAGAAAGGAGACAATGCAAGACTAGAAGGGTACGTTTGTGGCTGTCGGAAAAACGGGTCGGTAACGTACTCTCACACCTGCTGCAGAGTGCAGAGATGAGGTGGGAGCCTACGGCGGAGAAGAGGAGGGTTTGGCGGAATCTTGAACCAAAGCCTGCCAGGTAGGCAAGACGGATGCGGGCAGGCGAGGTAATCGATGGCTTCGAAGGACGCTGGTTGAGGCGAGCAACAATATCCTGTACAGCGGCCCAGTTCTGCATTAGTAAGAATTCCGCCTGATCGACAATCAGTAGTTCAATCGACGCGGTGACATATTGTATGTCCTGAGTCTTTTCCCTGTAATATAAAAGCAAACAGGCTGTAGGCTAGCAATAAACAGCTCTGGGAAATGACATGGGCTATAGCGACAAAACAAAAGCTTTCAAATCTAGGGGACGTCAATGCCAAGTGCGATATGAATGAAGCAGAGCAAAACCAAATTAGCAAAAAGAGAACATACTCAGAGTCATTGAAAAGAGTTTCCAAGCCCAGTGGAGAGGCCAATATGATGTCCGACTCCGCGAAGGCAGAATACAACTTCACCGACTTCTTTGACACAGCAACTCCGATCCGAAATTTGTCATCACAGTTTGCTGTTTGCGGAAGCATTTAGAATATAAACAATTTAGCCAAAGCCAAAAGGCGACACAAGTATTATTGAATTAAGGAAGATCTAGAGAGCAAAGAATAAAGTTCAATACTATTAGTCAGCTATAAATCGCTGATAAAACAAAACCGAGAAACAGACTTGCCAAACGATATTTGCTTAGATTAATTACGTACTGACTGAAAACAGCTGATTCTGCTGAGTTCATTTTGCATATTTGCCAGAATCACCATTTAAAACACCCAGAAACTTTGGATGCGCATATTAGGAGGATGACAATAAGATAGTTAAGTCGGTAGAATATCCGAATGCTAAATGAGCGGATTTATCTATCCTTGCTTCAGAATTTGACATAAAGCCCTAAACAGATTTCAACCGAATACCAATGAACTTCGACTAGCCGTGTGAAGGAGTGGATGAAGGGGTGTGTCAAAACGCTTGGGAAACTGGAAGCAAAACAAAGAGAAAGGGCGAAGGAGTGCTTACACGAGAACCATTCCTCATAGTCAGCAGGTTTCTTTCCCTTGCGCTTCTCCCGATCAGTCTGCCCTTCCTGAGGACCAAAGTCGCGTTCAAAACGCTTCCTGTGGCTAACAGTTGAACCCCTAGGCATCAGGCGAAGCATTTGATGCACAGTACGTCTG